CTTTAGTTTTAAGAAGCTTAGAGCCTGATGGCAGGACCAGACTTATAAATCACCAATTATATGACTTTTCCAGCCAGAAAAAGAAAAAGAGTTTAAAGAAAGGATAATGCTGTCAGCTTTAACACGTTGAAGTTCCCCAGAGAGCCGAATGTGAAGACCCGTTGGTGTTATATTGTGTTCTTTGTCTCTAGAGCTTGGGAGAGGTTTTCGGGCTGTGGGGACATGTGAGACCCCTCACGACCATTTCATTATTGAGAGAGTGAACACTGATGAGGAAGAGTGGATCAGAGATGGCAGGGAAGCTCCGTGTCAGGTGTGGGTCAGACCGGATGATGAAAGCCGTCAGACGCGGTGGCCCAGGGTCCGGAACAGGAAAGGAGAGAGAGAGGAACGAGAAGTCGGGGAGACAGATGCAGACACAGAGACTGGCGGCATAAAGAGGCGGAAAACGGGAAGACTTTGAGAATGAACTTCAGAGTTAGCAGCATGATGTGTGATAGATTGGAATCCCAGAGAGAATATTTTGGTCGTGAAAAAGATTGCTCCCAGGCTCTTATTCTTATTTAGCGTTATTTAAGGAAAACACTGTAAGAAGTTTAAGAAAATAATATGCACAACACACAAGTTTAATGACAAATGTAATGCAGTAATCCCTGCATTTTTCACAGCAAGATTTCAATCCAAGCTCCGATTTCAATGTGAGAATCAGATATTACATGAACAGTCAATGTTCAGTCCCTGACTGATGAACAGAGAAAGGACACATTCTTCGCATTTGGCCCTGTGCTATGTGTGGGGGCTGGACCTGTGAAGAGAACTTAGATTTCACATGAAACTCGACCACAGTACCTAAGATCTGGTATAGGAACATTTATGGTACTAAAATGATTTTTTGGACAGATTTTAAGAAAACATCGAAACAGGTAGACATGGATAAATACATCTTTTCCCTCTGAATAGATGTCTTGGAGCTTTCCATACATTTTACTGTATTATTTCTTAGACTGATTATCCACTTTCCATTTGTCTTTTTTCAACAGTTAATACTGAAGATTTTCATATTTATTTTAATTAGATAATGCATAATGTAGGAAGCCACACATGGATATTTGGGAAACCAGATTTATTTTCAAGTACAATGCTCCATAAATTCATTGATGATTTTCTTACCGATTTTTCAGTTCTGCCTTCTGAGTAGCACAATTTCTTCCATCCTTTTGTTCCAGTTTTTCTAAATATAGCTGCCAAAATTCACCAACAACCAACCTCTGGGGCTTGAAAACAAAGAAGAAAGAAAAGAAGAGAAAAAGGCTCCTTTTTGTTTCCATAGTTGCATTGGGCTTTTGTTTAGTTTAGGTTGGAGACATAAGTTCACTTCCCTGGTGTATGTATGAGAGTAATTTGAAGTAGAAAAAAACCCAAAATGATGTTGATGGAGGTACGTTGACATACATCCTTTCTATTTAAAATGTTGTCCTAATCTGTAAGAACCGTCTTCGACCCAACGTTAACTTCCAGCATTTGCTGTAGTTTGGTTACTGCCCATTCCAGAGACAGAAGACTCTGCATGTAGGAAAAAAGTGGTAAATGTTTAATGGTGATCATGCAAACAAATATAGAAGTCAGCAAACATGTGAGCACCCTTACAGTTTGTTTAAAACCTGGAAGAGAAGGTGAGGTGAGACAGATGGGTCACTAGGCTTTGAGGCTGTGACATTTGGAAGCCAGAGTACATTTTCTTTTCCTTGGAACTATGAATAAATAGCTGGGAAATCATCTAAGATGTTCTTTTCTGATCCTTGTTTTGTTCACTTGACTTAGGACACCAAAAAGCAAGTGTTGGTTAAATTATTTCACTGTCGCTGTAATGCCAGAATGCATTACTTTTAAAATATTTTGACTTGTACTTGATTTCAGTGGTACTGGGACTTAGGCTTGTATATGGGCTCATTTAAAGACCAGAACTCTTTGTGAGGTGGTCCTGAGACTCCACTCCTGGTTTAAGTTCGAGCTCCTAGCATGATACCCAGGACACATGTTTACGTAGCTGCATAGCATCTTGGACCTGAAAGGGACTATAGCACTGAGTAAGTAAACCAAGGCCAAACACATGAGAATAGCCAAAGGCTGCTTATTGAAGGCAGTCAGCCACCAGCACTTACACTTGGCAGAGACTCAAAGGCAGGGAGAAGAGTGGGAGGGCTTTCCAGCGGGAAAGTAGGAAAGCTTCAGATATGCCCCGAGTGTAGGCTGTTGGCCTGGGGAAGCCATGGGCAGGCTAACTAAAAGCAAGGTTTCCCATGTGATTAACTTTGGGTATATATGTGACTTTCTCCAGTTGGCCCTATGTAGGAGGTTGGGCCAAAAATCCGGCTGCTTTGGGCTAATTGCCACACCTGTGTGGCTTCCTGGCTTGGTTGCAGGGGATAGAGGTCTGACTTTCTAGAGTATGACTTAGAGATAGTAGGTGGGCCTCCTGGGCTGGATAATGGCTTTGGGTTCTATTTTTATATGTGGCTGGCAGCTTTCCATGTGTATGCCCAGCTTCTCAGTGACCATCTCGTCCCAATGTACAAAGACTAAATTAAAGTCATACAGGACAAATGGCTATAATTTATTTAAGTTACTATTACTTTTTAGTTTTTAAAATATCTTAAAATGTAGAATATCATTAGATCTTTCTAATCAAAACGGGGAAGTTAGTCGGAACAGGTATTATCTTTGTTTCATGGTGAGGAAAAATGAGACTCTGAGAGAAGAAACCAAATATTTAGTGACATGGTTCATTAGCCCTCGAACATGGCCAAGGCAGCAGCAAAGCTGGGCTCTTGGATTCCTTACCTAGGGCTGCTTGCGATTTTACAGCCTGTGCTGGCTCTGACCCCAGACTCAGGTAATGGGGAGACAGAGTGCGATATTTCTATCATCCGGCTGAAAGTTGATGGGTATTTTGAACCTACACACAGAGAAAACACTAGATTCTCCTAATCATTTCTCTGAATTTGTCCACTACAGATTTTCTCAGAGATTCCTTATTTGAATTAAACTTTCAATCTGGTGGATTTTACAACTTGTTACTATGAAATAATCAGACTTTTGAAAATATAACTAGCTTTGTGCCACTTTCAATACACTTATAATACTCATTTGATTCTCTCGTTCCACTAAGAATGCTGTGTTTTCTGCACACATCAGAAAGATGCCGGAGGAGTTCAGAAACCTACTAAATTAATTAATCAGTTAAATACTGGTGGAGCAATATGCTAGGGATGCTGGAGACACCAAATGAAAATAAAGCAACAAAATAAAACTCAGACCCTGCCTTTAAAGAACATGGTGTTTCTTGATAAGAGCAACAGAAAGTTGATATAAGACAACGTCAGGGCAGAGATGACCATAGGCCCCAGCACAGGGTGGGGTGTGGTGGGGAAGGCTTCAGAGAATAGTTCAACTGAGTAACCAGGACTGTGGAGAGTTAGCCGAACAAAGACAGGACATAAGGGTATTCAAAGCAGGAGAGGCAGGAGATAGTAACTACAAAAAAGAACATTGTTTTTGTTAGAGGTGGGATGGATTGGAAAAACTTACAACAAACTTAGTGGTATTTTTTAATACACCATTCTGGGGGAAGCAACAAAGTTAGAGAGAAAAGGAAGAGTAGATGGTGGAGAATCTTTTGAAACTTCTGGAAGGACTTCAGTCAGGGGTACATTATGAGTATATCTGCATTTTTGTTTTTGTGTGTCTGTGCACATTGTAGAATGGCTATTTCCTGAAAGAACACCGTTGTCATGGTAGCAAGGGGGTAGCACCCTTAAAACCATCTTTATTACATGCATTGTTAAGCACTCCCATACGTGCATTGCAGAATGGCTATCCCATCCTTTCCCAGAAATGACACTTGAGCGTATTTTCATTTTAAACATGTTGGCAGTATTGGGAGCTTGTACTTTGGAGACTCAAGGAGACTAGTTGCAATACTTCAAGATTTGAGCTTGAACCGTAGCAGTTGAGGTAGACATAATACAAAGTATGACAGAAAAGAAAGCGAGATATTTAGAAATAAAATCTGCAGAATCTGCTGACTGATGGAGTTGGGGAGTGGCAGTCAAAGAACGAGAGAGGGAGCTTTTAGCTGGATAGTTGGCTGGACAGGAAGAACCATTGTTTGGTAGAAATGGTGTCAGCTCGGTATCTGAAATGTTGAATTTGTTTTCCACGGGGACTCATGCAGCAGGAAGTCGGATATTTCGTCCAAAGCTGCAGAGAATGGTTCAGGCTTGTGATAAAAAATTTAGAAATCTCTAACAATCAGATGATTGCTAGTTGAATCCTAGAACATCACAGGAAGCTGGAGTGGGAGGAACAGTGCCCAAGCTTGTACCACGGGGACAACCATCACGTAAGGGATGTGTGTGGGAAGAGAAGGTATGGATGACACAGAAGTGGTTGGTGTGAGACACAGAACACAACACAGGAAGGTGGGCCATCAGAGGAGCTAAGTAAATTGAAGATGTAAATAAGAGAGTATCAAGGAGTTGTCAAATGGCTTAACAATGTCTTCTAAATGTGCCTCCTTGAAGGCCAAGGGGATAGCAGCAAGCACAGCTCGAGCAGAGCGGCTGGAATGCGTTATGTCACAGTGGGGAGTGCAGTGAAAAAAGCCGAGGCAGTAAAGACAGGGAGTGTAGAGAGCACTTCCAGAGGTTCCCTTGAAAATAAGCACAGGGAAGGGTTACTAAAGGAGCCTCAAGGTTCCCTGACCTGCTCCTTTTCCCAGGAGAAAGTTCCTTACCAGGGAGATGGACCTGTATTCCTCAGAAATAAAAGGCCCTGCATCTCTCCATCCATTATATTTAAATGTTGTCATCTCTAATACACATCTAATTTTCTGAAAAATATATTGACAATGTTCTAGAAAATCGTTCTTCAGCTTTTCAAAGGAACCCGGGAAGGGTGTGACTTCTGTTTGACCAAGTGTAATCCCGATTCGTCCACAGAATCCACAGAAGAGCTGAAAGTGCGGAGCCACAGCACAGAGCCGTTACCAAAGCCCGACAGCAAGGACAAAGGACACCACGGGGCGTCTTCCCGAGAGCCTGTCAAAGCTCAGGAGTGGGACGGGACACCAGGGCCGCCTGTGGTCACCAGCAGACTGGGAAGGTGCTCTGTGAGCCCCACCTTGTTAGCAGGAAACCACAGCTCAGGTGAGAATGATCGTGATCTCCCAGATGGTATTTCTCGGGTCCCTAGGAGCTGCCTGTATGCAGTTACCACTTGGAGAGAACCATCGCCGCAGATACCACTTTCCGCTCACAGCAACAGCGCGCAGAGCCCCTCACGGTGGAAGGGAAGGGCATTTGGGACCGCTCCAGGGGGCGTTATTCACGCGGACAATGGAGGAGCCGATGGTGCTCCTTGGAGCCGTGTGGTGCGGCAGCCTTGACGACTCATAATGTCTGCACTAAATTTGACCTAAAACATCTGGAGTCCGCATCTGCAGCAGTTTTCAGTTAGAGAGTTTAAACGATTTCAAGTTTATGCCTCTTTTGCTTCCAAAACAGTAACAGAGAGTAAAACTGAGGATAAAAGTGTAACAAAGATGATCTGAAGGCAGTTGAGGGACTCGATGTCACGAGGCATCTGAAGGGGTGAGCTGAGGAATTCCAGCCGGGCACTGGGCATGGGACTACGTTCCCAAATCTAAGTCAGAAGAGTTAGAAAGTTATAATCTACCACACCTTTAGATTTCACAAGTTGTCATTAAAATCTGCAATGCAATTTGCATTGTTAAAAGAGAAGTGTTATTAAACTTCAATGTTTCAAAAGCTCTGAACGGGTTCATCTACATGATGGACTTACGGAGAACTGTCCATGGAAATAAAGACAAATAATCGAGCAGCCTCCTGTAGTTTTCAGGTTTCTGTGCCTTAAGAGTCTTAGGGCTCCAAAGAAAAGGCCAGTCCTTTAATGTTATTTTCAGCTCTGATACTCATCTTGGAAAGCCATTCACATTCATTTAGCCTGTGGTCTCCCTGCCAGTCACGCACAAGGTAAAACTGAAACAGGATGAATAATCCCTGTAATTGGGAAGGGACGTTTCCAGAACAGTCCTCAGGCAAACAGCCTGCCCCCGAATTAAAATGCAATTTACGGCTTTGGTGACGCAGGCACATCAGGTGTCGTGTGGATAACCGCCTTCACCACATGAGTGCAAACCTCACAGGGGAAGGAAGGTTATGTGAATTTAGCAAAAGTTAAAAAAATGTTTTTGATAGTAAAGCATAAATAGCTATGTATAGGTATATGAGAGAAAGATATTTGTGGATTTTCTTAAAAAGAAAAAGAAAGATAAGAAACAGATAGTATTGTGTAGGGAAAAAATGCCACTCCCAAAAAAAGTCTGCACCTCTATTCAATTGGGAATTATGATTAGTGTTGCGTTTATTATTAGTATATTAAAAATTTTCTGAATTTGTACCAGTTCTAACCGAAAAACATGCGCACTACCTGCTGTTGTGACCAAAGATCTACTTTCTGAAAACCAAAGCGTCACCTGGGTGTTCATTACGTAACCACCACTGTTCGAGGATCTGAACGGACAGGGAGTACACGTGGGTGCTCAAAGTCAAGTGTGAGAAAGACAGATGGATCATTGCAATATAATGTACAATATTATATACAAATTACATGCAAACCATAGGAGACATTAATGGGGGGAAGGTATATTTTGGGCAGAAACAATCAGGGGCTTTTGCTAGATTAAATGATCATTGCTTAAGGATGTGACCTTTGAACTAGCACTTGAAACATCAAGAGCTGCTTCCTTCCTTCTGGGGGAAAACCTGAAGTGCTATAGGTGGGACTTGGTGTGTCTGGTGTGAAGAGTGGGAAGTGTTGAGTAAAGAGACTTCAAAGCAGGTTGGGCCCAGGTAGTAAGAATCCCAAAGCACTGTGTATGTTAGTACCAACTAGCAGTGGCTTAGGTAACAATGACCTTTGCTGACCACAGCATGCGCTCTGGAGGCAGGGAGCTCCAGGTGTTCTGTCACTGTTCAGTGAGTCATTGACCACCTGGGAACTTTCTGTCCTTCTCATTCTCCAGTCCTGCTATTCTTGATTTTTTTTTTCATAATAACAAGTGGCTGTGACAGCTCTCAGCATAATGCCCCTGCAGACTCTCCCTTTCCTTCAGTTGAGCAGAACTTGGAAACATGCTCTCTGGACCAGTCACTGTGTGAAAGGCAGTGGTAATTCCATGGGCTTACAAAAGGCCCTCCTTTCCCCTAAGTCAAGGGACCTTGGCCTTGTACCTAGAACTGACAACAGCAGTCTGTTTGCAGGGAAAATGTGGGTGGGGGTGATGTTGCATGAGCAATGGACAGTATCTGCCATATCATGGTTTCATTTTGAACATTCTGTGGTGCATATCTTGTAGTCAATTAAATTTTTTGAACACAGGTGTAATGTGATTCAGTGTTCATGATTCAAGGCCCAGTGGTGACCGCACAGCTCCAAGCACGGGGAAGTTGGAGGGGTGGGGCATGTGCTGAGACAGAGATGGCCAAGGAGACGTGGAGCAGGGTTTAGGTGGGCGGGCCGGGACTTAGGCTGTGACCGTGTTAAGTGGGAAGTGCTCTGGGAATCTAATTGAGAAGATTAGAATTCCAGGTCCTCAGATAAAGAGAGTTAGTGGAATTAGAGATTGAGATTAGAGATGGTTAAAAGTGTACGACTAGATCTGGGGTGCCAAACTCATTTTCACCGGGGACCACATCAGCCTCACGGTTGCCTTCAAAGGGCTGAATGTAATTTCAACTCCTTAACAGTTAAGGAGTAGTTACATTTATACGGTCCTAAAATTATTTCAGCTCTTTGAAGGCAACTGCGAGGCTGATGTGGCCCCCGGTGAAAATGAGTTTGGCACCCCTGGACTAGATGATTCTAAACAGGAAACAGAGGAGAAGGAAGCTGAGATTAGACCTTGGGGAATCCAAACATTTCCAAGTGTGGGCAAGGGACAAAGAACCTATGAAATAAATGGAGACAAAACCATGAGATGGTCCACAGTTCACTTCTACTGAAGACTTAGTAAGTTGCATAAAAATGGGTAATATGTCTGTGACACTGTGGCGTGAATGTTCCAAGAAATTCAGAGTGTAAACAAAATTGCTAACAAACTTGGACATTCTTCCACTGCCAACTCCTGAAGTGTCTCTTTGGCTTTCTGGCGTTGAAATCTGCTCTCCGAAGTCAGCTGTTTGTCGAGCAGTAAACTGTCTGCCGACCACAGGGAACGCCGTAAACAACTGTAGTCCCTCCCATTCCCCACCTTAGATCAGGGAGGTGGTAAGCAAAGGTGACAGAAGGGAAGATGATTGTCACATTTTTTTATAACGACATTTTTGCACCCACGTTAAAAGCAGTGTGAAAGGTAGGGTAAGTGTGCAGTCACTTACGGTGTCAGTCAGTGCAAGTCAGCGTTTCTCGCGTGAAAGCGGAACTGTCGACGTGCCCACTCAAAAGGACATTACAATGACCTGAACGTTTAGAGTATCGCACCGCATTATATCCACTGAGTATGTCCTCACACCAGGTTTGAAGGCAAAAAAAAAAAGAGAGAAAATGAAAAATGCTTAAGTTGGCAGTTGTTTCTCTGCAAAGAAAGAACCTAATATGTGCCCATGCTATTCTAAAAATGCCATAGTTCGCTAGCAAAATGTGTGAAATAGAATATCCGAGGTTTGCTTGCCTTTGATGTTTTAACCAACGAGGGTCTTTGTCCAGAACAGACAAATAACTACAGAAGGCAAGCCCTTTGGATTTGCTCTTTTGGAGCACAAGGGAATGAAAGAGTCAATATTTATTCTTTTTCCTTCTGCTCTTCACATTTCCTACCCATTCTTGTCTCCTTGCCACCGGGCCACTGACTAGTGAGCTCCTAACAGAATACGCTAGAGCTGCAAATAGCGGCCCTCCTCCCAGAACAACAGAGGGACTCGACCCCACACCTGACGGTGGAGGCCAAGGAGATTCTACCTGTGAACCCCACCGCCACCCCCATCAACTTTGTCCCTGGCGTGCTCACATTCTCTCTCTCTGTCTCTCTCTCTCTGTCTCTCTGTCTCTGTCTCTCTCTCTCTCACACACACAAACACACACACACATACACACACTTTACCAAAAGTGGTTTAGCCACTTGTGAAAGTTGTTCTTAATAGCTCTTTTGAGGAATGGAGCAATTGCTGAAGTAAAACAAATGAATGTGTCAGATCTCAATTCTAATTAACATTGCCGCTGGTTGCCGCGGTCCTTTATTAGAATCACAGTTGTTTAGTAAACCGGGGATTCCCTGGAGGGTGATTCTCGAAGGCAGTGGAGGACTGGGACCCAAATGTGCCTGTAAAGAATGGGGGAGAGTGGAAATTGCATAAGTTAGTATGGTAGTGACAAAAATTCAGAATTCAGTCACTGAATCAGTCAACAGATAGTTTCCAGGCAGCGTGTACCCAACTCTGTAAAGGTTTTGGGGGGACAAACACTCTCTCACTCACTCAAACCCCCGCCACAAACATAACACCCGTAAGCTGTATCAAACCTGGTCTCCGTCCCTCAAAGACCTTACCATGCTTCCTTATGAAACAAAACACTTGAATAAAAATTAGTTAGATCATCATTAAATGCATTATTTTTATTATTATGCACTGGGCTATCTCTATCCTTTTACTATAGATTTAATATCATACAAATAAAATTAGTGCAGTCTTGAAAAAACATGGAGGACTTAGTGGGAGACATTGAGTTTTAAACCAAGATTATATCAGGTCTTTTAAAAAACTCATTATTATTATTATTATTATTATTATTATTAATTGGGTAGACATACGTAGAGAGAACTTTCCACACGGGATGAAGAAGGGGAACAAAGGCGGAGTAGACTTCATCCTGCCCACCCCGGCAGACTGAAGAAGCACTCTGGGAAGTAAACGCAGAAGACCTTGAACTCATCCTGTGTGGGATGGTCTCAGAAAGACCTCAGCTCCTGGGTGCACAGCTTGTGTGTGTCTGCCGTTCTGGGCAGGTCCACCGTGGGATGGTAACTGTGGCGCCTGCAGGACAGGCCGGAATACTGGCGAGTGCGTTAGGAGACGTGACTCTTTCAAACCAGGCATGGGGTGCTCGCCCGTTCCATACACAGGAATGTCCT